ATTTGAATAACGTTTTTTTCACTTTTGAATTGGATCAACAACTTATTACAATTAAACAAAGTTTACTTAAAAATATATCAATTAGGTTTGATTTTATTTATGATTAAGATATTTCATTTTTTTCTTTAATTTTAATTACTTTAGATGTAGGTTGTAATAGATTTATTGTGTTAAGATAAAATATTTAAAGGGCATTGAAGTAATTTACCATATCTGCAATATAAGATATCTTTCAACTAAGTAAATTAATATCACATTCTTTAACTCTTAACCAAACACAAATGGGAATAAATTGAACACATTCCCATCAAACTAACGTACCCAGCATCTGACATTGTCGTGGTAATCTGACATTCTCTGAACAAAACGGCCCCTTAAAGAATGGTTCCCTCCTCCAAAAAATATTACTATAATAAACCTTATTTACACAAATGTGACTAATAGTTACTACAATGTAGTATCACGATAATATAAGTTTAAAAATTGAACATAAGTTATTATAATTTCATCACTACTCTAATGACTAATTAAATTTTTGTAAACAATTTTTATTTTAGTGATAAATGTAATTATTTTTTAAAATATCACACCTTGCTTCACCTACAGTTTATAAAATAGTAATTTCCCTATATATGGGAAGGGGGAGTTTTTTTTCCTTTTTAAACGGACTGCCATTATTTTTCGTTTTAAACGTTTTTATTTATTCAAAAAATGGTATGTGTTTAAAACGCTTTTAAAAGGCAACAAAGCTAACTAGGACTATTACATGAGTAAACTTAAACACAATTGTACAAATAGGAGTAAAACTTAAATCTTCCCTAAATAGGACTAAATAATAATTTTCTACCTTTAACACCCCTAACCTAATAAGTCAATATAATTAATTGTCCCCCTCTGTATTTGCATATCTAGGTCAGTCTGGTGGTGGCGGCGAATCTATTCTGGAAATTTTCAGTAGATTTCGGTGATCAATGGCTCGCGGTGACAGGTGCAGTCGTGCAGATTGCTAGTGGTTGAGGGATGGGCACTCCTAAAGCTACATGGGTATATTTTTCCAAATACATATAATTAGTCCTATTTATTAAATTTAAAATAATGTAGTCCTATTTTTGAATTTGGCTCATGTTTTACTTCTAATTGGTGAATTAATTCACTCAAGAGATAGGAGTAAAAATAGGAGAAAGTGCAAAAATAGGAGTAAGTTTTTAAAATTTCTCAAATAGGAGTATTCTTTCAAAGTTGGACAAGGTCCACAAGGATACCCCTATAGGCTTTGGACCAGCCATCATCCACCGATCGCCGGATCTACTGAAAATTTCCACAATGCACCCACCACCAATCTAACGCCACCGCTGGTTGGCGGAGCTCCACCATCACCATCGAACTGGCCCGCTACCCATGGACTGACCCGGTTATGAAAGAGAACTATGGGGCAATTAATTATATTAATTAATCAAATTAGAGGTATTAAGGGTTAAAAAGATTAGGGCCTGTTTACTAACAGAAATATTTTCCAGTTTTCCAGAAAACTGGAAAACTGGAAAACAGAAAATAGGAAACGTGTTTACCAAAGAAATTCCTGGAAAACTGGAGAGAAGAAAAAAGAAAAACACGTTTACCAAATCGTTTTCCAAAACGGAAAAAATGAAACATGTCTCTCTTTTCCTTAATGATTTTGAGAAGTGACTTTTACTAGTTTTCCAAATTTGGAAAACGCAGATGCTATAGTGCCTTTGCAATGAATTTGCATACTTACACCTAGTGGTGGGTCCGGTCCCGCTCAGATGTCGATTCCATTCTGGTACCTCCATCCTTGTACCTTACCCCTTACCCCTACCCTACCCTACCCACCCAACCCCCACCCCTGCGTACCCATTTTTCCCTATAATGACCTTACCCCACCCCCCACCACATGCCCCGACCTCGGCCCCACCCCGATCCACCCTACCCTACCGCCACCCCCCTACCACCTCGACCCCACCTCGATCCACCCTACCCTACCGCCACCCCCTACCACATTGACCCCACCCCGACCCACCCTACCCCTCGTATATTACCACTTACCCCTACCTTACCCTTTACCACATGCCTCCTACCTCGGCCCCACCCGGATCCCGGGCCCACCCTACCGCCATCCTATCCCAACTCCCTACCCTACCCCTACCTTACCCCAACCCCAAACCCTACCCACTACCCCCCACCCTTACCATCCTACCCCCACCCCCACCCCCTTCCCTACCCCGACCCCACCCTACCGCCATCATATCCCAACTCCCTACCCCTGCCTTACCCCAACCCCAAACCCTACCCACTACCCCCACCCTTATCGCCATCCTACCCCCCATCCTACCCCTTCCCTACCCCGGCCCCACCCTGGTCCTGACCCCACCCTACCTCCATCTTATCCCAACTCCCTACCCTACCCCTACCTTACCCCAACCCTACCCACTACCCCACCCTTAACCCTAACCACGACCCTAACCCACCCACTACCCCCAACCAACCCCCTACCCCTAGACCTTACCACCCCACCCTGACCATACCTCTTACCCCACCCCCACCCATAACTTCCCTACCCCGACCCCTACGAGTAGGTATGAGTGAGTATGAAGGGTTGTGGTGGAGTATGGGTAGAGTGTAAGATCGTGGTAAGGGTAGAGGTAGGAGTCAAGGGTGTGGAATTGGAGAACTGTGTGAAAAAATTGATGAACATGTTTTCAAATTTGAAAATGGAAAACTAAAAAATAGAAACAGAAAATTGCAGATAGAAAAACTGAAAAATAAAAACAGAAAATTGGAGAACGAAAAACAGAAGTAGAAAACAGGAAAATATTTCTGTTAGTAAATAAGCCCTTAATGTTTAGGTTTATTTAGGGAAAATATAGCTTGACTCCTATTTAGAAGAAATATGTTGTACTCCTAATAATGCAATGACTAATAAGGCAAGTACTTAATTCAAAGCATAATGCATAACAATAATGTCTTGTACGGCCTGATATCAGCGATGAGGTAGACCTAGTACTGCCCCATATCAGCGAGAAGGAAAAGCAAGAAGGAGGGATGTCTGAGTGGTCCTTGGTGGGGTATGTTATGTCCGGGAAACAGATCAAATTCTTGTCGTCTAGGGACACAATGGCCTCTATTTGGAGACCAAGCAGGAGTGTTTCAATTAAGGATATTACTGATAAGAGGTATCTGTTTTCTTTTATCATCATGATATTGATATGAGACGTGTTTTAGAGAATAATTTGTGGTTTTATGATCAAAATCTTGTTGTGTTGCATGAATTAAAGCATGATGACCTCCCTTTACAAGTTCCTTTATACTTTTTAGAATTTTGGATTCAAATGCATAACTTAAATGTTGGGTATTTGACTTTAAGGATTGCTATAATTGTTGGTAATAAACTTAAAAGTTTTGGTAAGCTTGATGATCACCGATTTGAAGGAAAATGAGGGCTTATATGAGGGTCAAGGTTAGTCTTGATGTATGGCAATTATTTCAAAAAGACTTGAATTGGCCAACTTTTATTTTGCTTGCGGGCTTATTGGCCATGGGGATAGGTTTTGTGACTTTTGTCCTCAAGTTCTGGGTCTTCCACGTTCATCACAATTGTTTGGACCGTGTTGCAGGCAGCAGTGGGTTCAGTAAAGGTGTAAGAAATATATTGTTGGTGCTGGAGTTGTGGCACCACTTGAGCAGGCAGTATTGTCGCTGCATCGCGATTTTGAGAGAGCAGGTGACAAAGTTCTGGAGAATTCTGTTAGATCTGGCTGCGCAGATCCACGGACGCTGGGGCGGCTTGTTTGCCCTTGGCATCCCTCTGGAGACCAGAGGTGGTAGTGATCTCAACCGACGGCTCAGGTTATGCAGCGGGAGCAACATCACATCTGTTTCGCATCACTCTCTTTCCTCCTGTCATTGTTGTTGATGAAAAAGCTGGTTGTAGATCTGAGAAAAAGGATCTAACTTGATTCACTATCTTTCTCTCAATGAAAGCACCAATTGATGGATCGCCGAGCCTGGGGAGTAGCCGGAATCCGAGAAATAGGAGAGAATGAAAGTGCTAAGTAAGATCAGGTAGAAATTTTAGCATAGTAACATCAAGTATGCAGAGAGAATTTTCGGATCCCTTTCCACAAGCTGGAAAGTGATATTTATACTAAAGGGGGAAGTACTTACCAACATGTAACAAAATGTTAATCTATTGTGGTGGTGACACGTGGCACATCTGTCTAACAGAATAAATGTACTAATCTAATGGAGTGGGGACACGTGTAAATGTGATGAGAGAGATACCTGGGATAGCTGGCTGATTGGTATTGTGCATAACAGAATCGCACCAGAACACACGTATGCCATACAAAATATTCTTTACTTTAACTGCCTGGAGTGATGTGGCATCCACACAATGGTGGTGACGTGGCGGTAGCTTGCATGATATTTGTCTACTGGAATGTCTAAGTCCATATTTGATTAGTGAAACCACTGAAACCCCAAGCTCTGTGAGGTTAGAGCTCGGGCATAGTGGGCTCATTCAAGAGGATTTGATCATGAACTTCATTTTGTCCGGTGGCGATCATTTCTTCATATCTGTTGACTCTCGCTGACTTGCATCAGTGTCCGAGGTCAGATCTGGTACCGACCTCGACGCCCTCAAGATCGGCCTCATATTTGGTTTTATTTTGGTGATCTGGGAGCTCAATAATGCGCCGACCTCGAGGGGTCGAGGTCAGCCTCAGCCATAGTTCCATACTTCGTCGATTTGCGGGTTTGTGTTGTGACCCAACTTCATGCGTCGAGATCGGCCTCGACTGGAACTTCGTACTAAGTATTGATATAACTGAAATACTTATTCGTTGATTATGATAGCCTTGCGGCCTGCGGCATATGGGAATATACATCATCAGTCCCCTATATCCAATATTAATTCAGGAGTTGCACCTTTTGTTTTATTATGGACAGAGGCAATAAAATACCCAGACTAGGAAAACACAAATTATCCACTGAAAAATAAGGTAATATATGGCGTTCATTCAATAGGAATCAACCATTTACAGCTATTCGAACTTCGAAGGACTAACCATGACCAATCGCTACTAATATTCACATTAAAAGAACAAAAAAAGGTGAAACTTACAAAGCATGCATAAGTGAATAATATTTAAGTGTATAAGCATTTCAATAGATACTGAACATTGAAGAACCTCATTAAAGAAGTGGGAAAATATGCACTGCTGCTTAATAATATGGACGTCACATTGTATTCAAAAGCATACTCTAACTATCTTGAAGTGGATCTGCCAATCCTCCATACCCGGCCAGCGGTCTAGTGGCAAAAACTTCTGCAATTACAATCGGCAACCTTCGGCTGAATCTTGAGACGCTCATTTCTCATGTCCAGTGTTAACTATTTGTATACAGAGATATGATTTTAATGGGATTGCGACTATACAAGTTCTACCCCTCAAATGAAGTGCTCGCTGCTCATATTTTCGCCCGTACTACTCAAAGAATCATCAAGAAGAAGATCACGAAAGTATAAGTGAATTACTATAGGAAATGGTGGCAGTATAGATGGGTAGAAAAAGTAGAAGCAGCAACATACCTCTTGCGTTTGCTTTTCTGAGAGGATGAGGATGAAGGATTAGTGTGCCAGTTTCTTTTCCTTTGGTTGATGAACCAGTTGTTTATCTGTTTTAGTTGCAAGCCAGTTTCCTGTACTAATCGCGCTTTGTCTTCCTCCTGCATTGGTTCATCATCGAAAGAAAGATATTTAGGGAGGAGAAAGAGTTAATACCAGAAATCGTGCTTGGCTATTGTGGCAGAACCCAATTTAACCCCAAACTTTTACTTTGATCAAAATTTGAACCTCAACTTTCATATCTTTAGTGAGTTTAATAATCATCTGTTATCCCCCCCCCCCCCTCCTCATCCAACACAAGCCCAGTTTACCTATCAGTGGGAGGCCATATCCATCACCGGAGTCACAAAGGAAGACGGCCGTAATCAAAGGGGGAGATGAAAATGAGTCGTCCATTTCTAGAATCCTAGTTCTAGCCCATGACTCCATCTTATGAAACATGGATTAGCTTCCATGGATATGGCTTCTAGTTAAGTAGTTATATAATGATGCACTAGTTTTTACGGATAAAAGATGTAGAAAATTATCAAAAGACCAAACTTGATCATGATATAAAAGTTGGGGATCAAATCCGATCAAAATAAAGTTCATGACTACGTTGTGTACTGCCCCAATAGTCGAGGAAAAAATTTATGGTATTAACTAGGATGTCAAATAATAAAAAGATGAAATGAAAAATTAAGCACACATTCTCCAACCAACCGTTGGATATGGCCATTTTGAGTGCGACTGCCACCAGGCTTTTAAGACAGATGTCGTATCACCAGGCAGCTTTCCAGCTCTTCTCTTGCGTAAAATTTCCTCTCTGATGTCCACAATCTTGTCCTTGTAACCCTAGAAAACAGAATAACATATTATTAGTAATGTGACAGACAAAGTCATTAAGAGCAATGGAGAAGAACTACTATTTATTACGTGTTTGAGCTCATGCTTCAGTTCTTGTCTCACACGCTCCATCAAAGACCTCTCAGTTTCAGTGGGCACAAGAGGGCCGAAGCCCATTGCATCCGCTCCATCCAACCCTCCATCATAAAAGTTGGTGTCACTATCAGCCTGTTCATCATCCTCATCATCAGACATTGTTGCTCCAGTCCCTTCACCTGGTGCCATCCCTGCCATCCAAAGAGTATAAAGAAAATACACATTCAAAGGTTCGTGAGACAATAGGGGCTATGAGGTTTATCAAAGGTTAATTTAATTGGGGAATCGGCAAAAAGTTGGAAGCATACGACACACTACCCTTCCCAAAGTTGTGAGAGTGGGAAATAATCATCTTGCAACCTGTTATTGGGCATTAATTAAAAAAATAGCTACAAAGCACTGTCAATAGGCTCAAAACTCAAAAGGAGAGGAAACAAATTATGAAGATTCCTGCTAATTATGGGAAAATGATGGCATAATGTATTTGTTAATGACCACTGGAGGGAGTTAAAACATGCAAGTCTAGGCGAGGGGAAGAGAGAAAATGGGGGGATCACTCATTTAATTTTTTATACAAAATTTTCTACACAAAACAAAAGATTTTACCAAACTTAGGGTGGGTCCAAGAGCAAGTTATTCTTTAGAGAGACAAACGGAAGCTTTATGAGCTGTCTATATTTGGAGTAAAGAGAACAAATTAGGTGTACTTCTACACAAAAACTCCTAACTTCAAGCCAACACATAAGGCCTATTTCGTGTGGCTTTGAAGGAGAATAAAATAGGGGACTGTCACCTGTTAAACTCTGCAGAGATTGCTCTAATTCCCAGCAAGCCATGACTGCTTCCATGGCATGAACTCGGACATGTTGTTGTAGTTGCTCTTTAAATGATGAGAGCAACAAAACATAGTGTGTCTGCATCAATATATACATATAGAAAAAATTACTACGTAAGAAATAATAGGACTGGAGAGTTCATTAATATCAAAAAATAAAATGAAGATTACATGCAAGGAAATGAGCGATATATAAAAGTATGAAATGGAGAATAAGAGCAGAGAATCCCTTGGAGTAGTGTCAAGCGGAAAATAGTAAACTATGCACCAAACAATTTAGTCTATTGAACTTATGATTCTGTTTACTAAACTATGCACCAAACAATTTAGTCTATTGAACTTATGATTCTGTTTACCTGTTTCACAAAAAAGTAGATATTTATAAACAGAGTTACAATATCATCCATTCAAATGAGTAGCTTCAGATATTAAAAAAAAAGGCAGCCTAGTGCACATTGGTGTCCCGCAAGGCGAGGATCCGGAAAGGGTCCCATTACAAGTATGTAAAAGGGCAGCCTTTTCTTGTCATTTTGACAAGACGCTGCTCCCAAGACTTTAACCCATGACCTCTCGGTACACGCAAAGGAAACACCTTAATTGGTGCCCCAAGGCTCCCCTCCTAGGTTCAGACATATGTTTCATGATAATAGAACAATAAAAGGTTATGTTAATTGACCATTTGTGTGTGAGGATCACTGAATAAGATCATTATATAATCGTTGGCCGTCAGTCAGTAGAGTCTCAGAATGGCATTTGACAAAAACCAGGTACTTCAGAATGATACTATTCTATTTACCAGGCTATCATTGGAATCTAGGATGACAATCGTGTATTTGTTGGGGTCGTCGGTATTGCCTGGTAGTTAATTTTATTTTATATTATTAAAATTAAATTATATAACTAAGGTTTTTCTGCCCATCCATACCCTCTTTAAAATACTGTAATCTAAAACAACGGTGTTTTACTCCCGGAAAACTCCTCTTACTATATTTAATACATTCAACAATCTATCAATTAAGAGGGCTAGCATAGGCAGATATTGCACTTCGTTGTAATGGGTAAAACATCCGTAGTAAGAAATTAGAAAGCAAAACTAAAAAGATGGGTTACCATAAATTGATCAAGGTCTTTGTCGTCGACAGGCTGTTGACCTTGACCGAGAACAGAGTACTTAGCGACGACGTTTTGGGACTGCGAGAGCTGGGCGTCTATCCTCGGCAGCTGGTCGACCGGCGTAGCAATTCTCAGGCACGATACGTGCGCGGACAGGAGCTGATCGTACAGCGGGTGATTCAGAATGTCCGCCTTGCACTTCTCCCTCTCCCACCTGCTCTCCTCATTATTAATCGCGTTATTGTTATTAATCGGCTCCGAGACGTCGTCGCTCTTAAGCCCCTCGCCCGCGGGCGAGAGCCAGTGGTTGGAGGTGGAGGAGTCGGAGTTGGAAGTCTGGAGGTGGAGGAAGCCGGTCGCAGCGCCGTCGGTGGGGGCGGAGAAGTGGTGGCTGTGCTGGCGGAGGAGGGAGGTGTTGAGCCACGTAGAGGGCGGCGATTTAGGCGAGGAGTGGTGATCGGCGGGGAGCATGGAGTGCAAAACGGCCGCGTTTTGCTGCTGCTGGTGGAGGGCCATTTCCTGAGAGAAGTGGTCCTGGAACGCCATATCAGCGTCAGCAGCTCTGCGCGTCGTAGCTCGTTTTCTTCTTGCTTGTTCTCGAGAAGAAAACAAATTGATAATAATGGAGGAAGAGAGAGGAATTTGGGAGACTTACAGAGAGAAAGCGTTTACTACTACAGTGCTTGGGGCGATGGCCGTGCACCTATGTAAATACAAAAATGCTATCGTAGAAACTCGCAAGTCGCCAGGCCGAAAAAATACGGAGTAGACAGGAAAATAATTCTCAATGATGACTCTCCCTCCTCTAATGTAATTGACTTTTTGAAGTTAAATTTGGGTGATGTTTGACCATTACAATTTAAAATATACTCTGTTTATAGAATCTATTAACAATACATGTTTATAAATTTAAAGTACTTTTTTGCTGTAATACATATTAAAACAAGATATTGAATAATACTTTAGTGTATGTGATGAATGAGAAATTGTTTAAAATACAGGTATAAATAATACCTAGTAGAGCTCTAAAATATGAGTATTACATTTTCGCCCTTAAGTATGAGTAATTTACTATCAAGATGAGATTATGTGAATATTGAATTTAAAAAGTGTAAAGGAGTTAGACTATTAATGTTTGGAGTGATCCATGTATGGTTATGGGGGGTAATCCTTCGATAAGTCGATACACACGAAGGTGTGGCAAGGACTGGAAGGGTTGAGGATGGAAAAAGGTGGAAGAGAAGAATTGAGATTCAGATGTTATTGGTGACATCTTGGAGGGTCGTGATGAGAAGTTGATTGTAAGCATTTCTTTGAGTAATCGTGACGTGCCTGATTAAGTACAGTGGGCGTGGAAGGAAAATGTGTTTTGCATTTAAAAGTTGTTATTGAGCTCTATCTGGGGAGCTCTAATCAGACTTGTGCATGATGCTTTAAATATTTGTGTTGGATGAGTTTCTCGCTCTCTTTTTACATATTCTTGTGGTCATTTATAGTGTGCCTTTCATACTAGTGAACTAGCAATATGTTTCACTAGGATTATTGATGTTCAAGATATGACTAATTGAGTTAATTAGAGGGGTTTCTAGTTTTATTTACAACGTCCAAGGTCCCGTATATGATTGCTTCCTTGTGTGATAACCTGTAACACCGTCCCCAAGTATATTTAATTTTATGTAAATTATGTATTGAACTTTATGAAATGGTTAATGAATTTACGAGGTTGCAATTTTTTTGTTAATTCTTTTGCGTGAATAGTAAATTGCACGTGGGACACACACCGGGAGCGGGGACCACCCGATATTCCCGAGACCACATATTTTATTCATCTTGGTATAGATAATAGTTATATGGTGGTGGACATTCATGTTGGGGCATAAGAAAGGCATTGGGTTGACCAATTGGTCAAACAGGGCCCAATTACCGGTATTGGTGATTTATGAGAGGAAAGCCCGAAATGGATTTCGGAGACTTCTAAATTAAAGTTGGGGAATGTATAATCATTCTAAAGGCCCGTTATGATGGGAAGTAAGTGTTATATTTTATTTGATCCGATAAAATAAAATATAATTAAAACAGTCCGAGAAATACAACTATCGGGACCGATTGTACACTTCACGACTTAAAGGGATGACCTCCCACATGTGTGGGGGCTAACCCACGACTTTAGTCACAAGATCCATGTGTTTGGGCGGCTAAAATAGAGGAGGAAGATGGGAGATGTTTGGGGTTGAAAGAAAAGGCATCTAAGGACATGAGGTGGACCTCTCATCCACACTCATTGGTCCAAAGAGACAAAAAGACCATCCCTACTCTCCTCTCCCTCTCATTTTAGACCAAGCACTTTCAAGACAAGGGAATAGGCTCTGCAAACTCCCATCTCCATAGCCAAGAGAGCTCAAGAAAGCAAGGAGCTCAAGGAAGAAGAAGAAGTTGCAAAAGTAGAAAAAAACCTTCAGAATAAAGGTGAGAAGCTCCTTAACAACTTTTCTTACATCTTTTGATTTTCATATGACTTGTATATCATATGAAGTACCTTTAAGATTGTTCTACATGTTAAAAAGTGTGGAACAAGGGGTTGGAAGTAGTTCTAAGTCCAACAATGGACTTAGAAGCCAAAGGGACCGGTTCGCCGGAAAATAACCTTTTAGGGGTTATTTGTATTGATATAGATTTTGTGATGATAAAATCTTGTTAGGCACTTGTCAAAGGTGATTTAAGAGCTTTCACGAAGTTGAAAGAGTCGCCGGAGTTATCGCCGAAGTTCGTCAAAGTTTGCCGGAGTTTCGTCGGAGTTCAACCGATCGAGGAGGGTAGAACTTCATAACGCTCATTCAAGGTGAGTGGACGGATTAATGTCTTATAACTCTTGGGTTAATTATGAGATTACCTAAGTAAATGTTATATGTGTTCATAATGATGTCTAAAAGATACTTAAACATGTGATTAGCCAAAGTGATTAGGCATATATGATGATCCATTGATATCATATATGAAGTATGATATGAAAATGTTTATAAAAACTTATATGATGTTTTAAAGGATAAAAAGGGCATAAAATGCTTGGTTATGACTTAAATACATATTGGGATTAAGTTTGACACAAATTGGGTTTGAAATGGCAAGTCAACGAAAATGTTGACTAGGATGCCCGGGGGGTAACCGGCTCCGGTTATGGTTCGGCACGGCTGGTTTAATTAATTTAATTACTAACCGGCGCCGGTTATGTAAAAAACGGCGCCGGTTTGGTGTTGTTTTGCCTATATTTTGACTTTTAATGCATGAATTGCAATGATGATTATGCTTAGCCCTTAAGACTTGGTTTAGTCTTGATTATTGATTATGATATAGACCTTATCTAGGATGATATGTGGTAGATCATAAATCGGGTGGAGTACCCAAGGATCGGGTGGAGTAACCAATGACCCATCTGCAGTCACAGAACCACCTCCTGTTTCTGGACAAAAAAAGGAAAAAGGCTGAAGTCAATCAAGTCAGATCTAAGATTTGGGAGCATTTTTTCATGATTAAGGATAACAAAGGTGTCGTTATTAAGGTCAAGTGTGATTATTGTGCCAAAATTTATTGTTGTCACTCAAAAAAGCATGGTACTTCCTCCATCAGGAATCACATGCTTAGCTGCTTAAAAAACCCTCATGCTAAAGACACTAGACACGCCCTCTTAAACTTTCAATCAGTCCCTCCACAGCATGGTCAACCTTCTGAAAATGTTGGGGTCATAGGAACATCGGTCTTTGATCAAGATGCTACTAGGAGAGCTCTAGGAGAAATGTTAATCATTGATGAGCTTTCTTTTAGATTTGTAGACAGACAAGGTTTTAGGAAGTTTATGTCAGTAGCATGTCCTAGATTTATAATACCTTCTAGGTGGACAATTGCTAGAGACATCTATCAAATATACCTTGATGAAAGACTTATAAAAAAAAAAGATGTTCAGGGAACACAGTCAAAGAGTCAATATTACCACTGATACATGGACCTCTGTATAGAGGATAAATTACATGTGTATAACTGCTCATTTCATTGATGATCAGTGGAAGCTTCAGAAAAGAGTCATTTCCTTTGTCCCTGTCACTTCTCACAAAGGGGAGTACCTAGCTAAAGCCCTAGAGACTTGTTTGCTTGAGTGGGGTGTGAGAAACATTTTCACTGTGACAGTAGATAATGCTAGTAGTAATGATACTGCTATTGGGTTTTTTAAGAAAAAGTTGATGTCTTGGGGTGTGCTTCTTCTGTGAAAGTCAAGTATGTTCATATGAGTTGCATTGCACACATTTTGAACTTAGCTGTCCAAGATGGGCTTAAAGATGCTGATAATTCTGTTAAGAGAATTAGGGAAGATGATAAGTATGTTAGGAACTCACCTGCTAGACTGCAGAAGTTCAAAGATATATCTAACTTGATAGGAGTGGAAGCTAAGTGTGGTCTGCACCTGGATGTTCCAACTAGGTGGAATTCCACTTACCTGATGCTTAAATCTGCTATTTCTAATGAGAAAGTGTTTGAAGCGTATGAGAAGAATGAGAGTGCATTTGGTACTGATTTGGGTAGTGACATTCCTGATGTTTTAGACTGGATTGCAGTTGAAACTTTTGTGACCATTTTACAAATTTTTTATGAATTGACTCTTAGAGTACTTCCAATACCTTCTTTTCTGAAATATCTGATTTGTTCCTTGTCCTAAAAGACATGGTTGCCTCTCCATCTGTTTCTGTCAGTGCAATGGGGACTACTATGAAAGCAAAGTTGGACAAGTACTGGGGTGATCGTGAAAAAATGAACTCCTTGATCTTCTTTGCTAATGTGTTAGACCCTAGGGACAAGTATGAGTATATGCCATTTCAGCTCAATGCTTTATATGGTGAAAAAATGGTGCCTTGTTTTTTGCCAAAGTGAAGTCTGGCCTCATTGAGTTATATGCTGATTATGTTGTTACATACTCTGATTGTGTTGGTGGAAGTTCTAATTCTAGTTCACATAGAGTTGCATCTGTGGAAGTCAATAATGCTGAGCACAGGCCAGTGTCAAGATTTAAGGCTAAGTTAAAAAAAACTAGAGAATGGTCAGTTAGGAGTTAAAAAAACTGAACTTGATATATATCTTGAAGAGTCAATAATTGAGGAAGATATGGACTTTGATATACTGGGATGGTGGAAGTTAAATAGTGAAAGATTTCCTATTCTATCTAAGATGGCTAGAGATGTACTTGGTATTCCAATCTCCACAGTAGCTTCTGAGTCCACATTCAGTACCAGTGGTAGGGTTTTGGACTGTTTTAGAAGTTCTTTAAGTCCCAAAATTGTGGAAGCCCTTATATATGCACAAGATTGGTTGAGAATGGCTAACCAGCCTATTTCAGTTGAAGAAAACATGGATGATGTGGACAGATTAGAAAAAGGTAGTACTTTTATGCTTTTTTTGTTTATTTAAACATAATTTGTAATATAATGTTTTTATTTTTCATTTCTAACACTGCTATTTCTTTGTTTTATAGAATTAACAGATGTAAATCTTGGTAGTGCTACTACTGGGGCTAGTGGATCCTCTAATGTCCCATTGAGTGTACACTTTTTGTTTGCATTGCTAATTTTTGGAATTAATTTGTGAAGCATTTCATAATGAATTTGAATATTTGATTATTTGACTATGATGCCTCATTGTGGAACTGGAAAGAACTAGTGAACTACTATGATGGAATTAAGATTCCACTCATTCCAGTGCCCACTTGGTACAATGTTGTTGGCCCCTTATCTGTTTGTCCCTTGGTCCCTTGGAAAGCTTGCACGGTAAACCACTTTTATGTTACAATTCATACCTATGATGATATGAACACACATTTGGCTGTGATGAATGTTTCCAGGGTTTAGAGTTTTCACTTTAAACTTTTGACCAATTATCCCATGACTCATGGATGATTGTGTTGGTGTTAATCCTGTTTGGATAGTATGCCCATATCCTTTGTGAGATCATATGTGTGATAACTTGGAATCAATCTGAGCCTAACTTTGCATACCTTAAACTGTTTATGAGTATTTACTTCTAAAGTTTATGAGTATTTACTTTTACAGTTTACTTATACAGGATGAAATATCCAATATGTTAATTTGATGGTCTGGGGTCTGGAATCTAGATTGTTCACTGTGGAGCATGAAGTATGTGTGAAGTAATGAAGTAATCATCTTGTACTGGTATGCTGCTGTTAATTGTTAAATATCAGTCTGATAAGTATGTGGAAGTTCTGATTTTATAAAAACAGCTCAATCTGTATCTTCTAAGTATTATTTTCATAGTATACTCCAATTCTTTGTGAAGTTGATACTTGTTTATGTCTTCTACTGGTAATCTGGTATAGTGGTATGCTGCTATTAAGCTTGTATATAGTCTGAGTTTAAAATGAAATAGAATTGGATTGTCATTTTCTTTTTCAGTCTATGTTGTGACCCTATTATAACATATCAGTCTGATATATATGATATATTAAGTAACATATATGGCAATGATAAAGCTTCCACTCATTACTGAATCTAAGGGGTTTAAGGTAGGTATTTCTCTTTCAGTTCTTAAGTGATAATTGAAATGGTAGCGGATGTACCCTATCCTTTATGAATGATAATAAGCATTCTGAGCCATCTCATTGTCTTCTATAGTCATTTGGGAATTGGGAAGTTCTGATTTTGTAAAAACAGCTCATTCTGTATCTTGTAAGTATTATTTTCATAGTATACTCCAATTCTTTGTGAAGTTGATACTTGTTTATGTGTTGTACTGGTAATCTGGTATAGTGGTATGCTGCTATTAAGCTTGTATATAGTCTGAGTTTAAAATGAAATAGAATTGGATTGTCATTTTCTTTTCCAGTCTATGTTGTGACCCTATTATAACATATCAGTCTGATATATATGATATATTAAGTAATATATATGGCAATGATAAAGCTTCCACTCATTACTGAATCTAAGGGGTTTAGGGTAGGTATTGCTCTTTCAGTTCTTAAGTGATAACTGAAATGGTAGCGGATGCCCCCATCCTTTATGAATGATAATAAGCATTCCGAGCCATCTCATTGTCTTCTATAGTCATTTGGGATATGGGAAGTTTCTGATATATATGATATATTAAGTAACATATATGGCAATGATAAAGCTTCCACTCATTACTGAATCTAAGGGGTTTAAGGTAGGTATTGCTCTTTCAGTTCTTAAGTGATAATTGAAATGGTAGCGGATGCCCCCTATCCTTTATGAATGATAATAAGCATTCTGAGCCATCTCATTGTCTTCTATAGTCATTTGGGAATTAGGAAGTTCTGATTTTGTAAAAACAGCTCATTCTGTATCTTGTAAGTATTATTTTCATAGTATACTCCAATTCTTTGTGAAGTTGATACTTGTTTATGTGTTGTACTGGTAATCTGGTATAGTGGTATGCTGCTGTTAAGCCTGTATATAGTCTGAGTTATATGAATTCTATGTATAGTCATTTGGGAGCTTCTGAAGTTCTGAATTCTGATTTTGTAAAAAGACTTAATCTGTTTCTTCTAAGTATTTTTTTCATTGTATACTTCAATGCTTTGTGAATTTGATACTTGTTTATGTATTCTATGTTGTATCCAGGTAAATAGGTCATCAACTTGTTATGTTTTGGCATGTTAAAGCTGGGAAGTGGACAATTGGTCAAGTTATCAAGTACTCTACTACTCAAGTGTGAACTGTGAAGTGGGAACTTATGATTTTGCTGTTTGGGAATTTTGAATGGCAGCTTGTAAAGTTGTAACATTTATAAGTTTGTACTTTAAAGTTTAAAACATTGTAATGTGTAAACTTAGTCCCATTTCATTTTGTTATCTTTTTTGGACTTATACTCAGTATGATTTGATTGTAAACATCAAAGTTCAAATTGTATTTAAAGTCTGATTTTTTTGGCTAATTTTGTAACCCGATTTAACCCGAAACCCGACCCGCACCCGACATAAACCCGAAAATTAAAAACCCGAAAAACACTCTATTTTAAATGCATAGGATCGGGTATCCATTCAGGTCACCCGATACCCGATAGAGTCTTGGGTTTTTCAAACCGCCCGACCCGAACCCGACCCGTGCTCTCCCTTAGCCACCACAATGGTGACCTAGGAGAAGGCGGGGATCACGATGCATTGAGAGGAGAAATGAGTAATTTAATTTCATGAGTATGAATAGTGAAAAATCCATGATTGATACCATAAATCTAGTTGGGAGAGAGAAAATGCGATTGAAATGCAAGATATGCATTACATATAATTCTTCTTAGTCAACAGTGCAATGAGCGTTAATTTTGCCCGCTTGAAAATAAGAACCTAGACATGCTAGAATGATGTGTTTGGCGCCTACATGGAAATCATCAGAACAGGGTTAGCCTTTGAAATAATAGAGAGAGAGAGAGAGCTTGGGGACCACATTATAAAAATTCCTAAAATGTATTAACACTTTAATAAGTGAGGAGGGCCAAGCGAGAACAATGGCGATGATAAAAATAAGCAATAGTCAAGAGCTCTCGTGTGAAGATTTGTCTTACTACATCACCACTTTTTATCTTTTTCATTGCTCGGGAAATGTCTAAACAATGATGTGGAGCTTGTATGAGGCCGATTTATTTCCTATTGTGTATAAAATTCTTCCCGCGTTGTCAAATTTGGCGGTCAATACATGAACGACTTATACTCAAATCATCAATATGAGTTGTTATGGGATGCTATGCTATTATTCGATCGGATATTCAAGGAATTTCTTCAACTGTAGATCTGCTTTTCTCAAACATCATCTATTTTTTTCCAGCACATTTCTGTGAGTACCGGTTCCCTAATCCCTACCCCTTTCAAACCACCTCTTGATTGAAATGATGCTTTTTACGCACTGAAATAAATGCGAGTGTTATTCAAACAGACAAGAGTTGATATCTCATTTCCACCTTACTTTTGTTCATGCTGTATTTTCTTTGAATTTCACTTATTGGGCCCGTTTGGATTACAACGGGTGTGTGAAACCGCTGCTTCTTTTTTAACTTGAAACCGTTGCTAAAAGCAGCGGGTGGCTGCGGATCCGCCGATAACAAACGTCCCCATTATCACATACGAGTACTATTTTATTTTCTGTTCGTTTAATATTGGATTTGGTAGAGATCATAGATTTTAGGAGAATGAAGAGATGTTAGGAGAATGAAGACTGACGTGTACACATGGTGAAACAAGTAAACAACTATTACAATTTGTGGGATACAAGTCTAGATCTAATCATTGACTTTTGCTTGGACATATATTTTTCTAGTTTTCCAAAAGGTGGAATCTCCCACCCCAGGAGCCCCTACACACCGATCCGACAGAATGATGGAGGAGTAAGTCACGGTGACTCAGTGGACCTAATGATGGTAGACCTTATACCGGTGTGCACCAGAGGTCCAGTCCAGCACGAAGGAGTTGTAATCTCCACACGGTCGCAACGAGTTTCGAACATTGGTCATTGTTCCAAATTTTCCACCGCTCAACCAGCTGAGCTACCCGTGCGGGTGGTCCGGGTGGACATATATTTTTCTAAATCCATTATAATGGTGTTTGGTTTATCATAATTATTAATAGGCTAAAGGGTCAAATAGGTACATGAACTAACTTAAAGTGTTCAATTAACCCCTTATAAAAGAGTTTCTGCCTGGACGTCGCCAATTGGGGCGGTTCCCGGTGGAATTTATTGATGAAATTTTTTGAGCATCTTCTTCATTAATTCTAGTTTACCCATACCAAATTTCAGCTAAAAATTCAACCGGGAAGGCAGTCGAATTATTTTCCGAAATGCACTGCGCTGTTTAATTTTTCAGAAAATCATTCGACTGCCTTTCCGGTTGAATTTTTAGCTGAAATTTGGTCTGGGTACACTAGACTTAATGAAGAAGATGCTCAAAAAAATTCATCAAAAAATTCCACCGGGAACCGCCCCAATTGGCGACGTCCGGGCAAAAACTCCTATATAAGGGGCTAATTGAACACTTTAGGTTAGTTCATGTACCTATTTGACCCTTTAGCCTTATTAATATAAGTGACATCTATTAAAATATAAAAATGTCATTAGTTATGAAATAACAGAAAATGGAAAACACAAAACCGCAAGCCTAAAAAACTAAAACTCTAATTAGGCCTAAACGAATTAGGATATTTTCTTTTGGACTGAAATTTGCTGGTCAGGTCTAGTGTGTTCTGGTCTGTTTAAGTCAGGTCAGGTAAATCTCTGGTTTCTGTGTATTTTATAATTGTTCAAGTTTGGTCTGGTCTGATCATGTCTATTTAAGTCTGGTCTGGTTTAGGACTGAAAAAAGTTCAAAAGAAAACATCATTAAATAGTACCTCCATTTTCTTAATTTTCTTTTCTATTTATAATTGCAGGAATTTATCTTTTCATATCATATTTAGGAAAAAAAAAGGACTTTATTCCCTAATTTTAAGAAGCAATACATGGGGGAAATTAATTCGTACCATTGTCCATTGCCTCACATTGCTCACAAAATTTTAAATTGATGATTATTTTCAAAAAAAAAAAAGAAAAAGAAAATTGATGATTTAAAAGATTGAAGCATAAAGTCAAAATTTCCCTTTATAATTTGATATTTTAGGCACCCAAAGCAAACCCTAACCCGCTTTGCCTCTGCGCCTGTCGTCATCGCTGTTTCTCTCTCCCCCCCACTCTCTCTCTAACCTGTTTCCTCATCTCCTATTTCTACCTTCATTCCTTTGGTATTTTGTGCAAATTATTCCTGAAAATTTCAAGAGATGGAGGTGAGCGGTTTGAGCTATGAAGTGTCTGACCTGAAAGGAACTGTTGTGAGGTCTGTATTGGAAGCAATGGTAGCTGAGGCTCTACTGGTTTCTCAAAGATCTGTTGCTTTTATGCTCAGTGTGGTATTGACTACTTTTCATTTACACTGCTCTGAAGTCTCATTTTTTCCTGGGATTTTTTGCTTTGTTTTTCTATTTGGTTTTAGCTTATTTGTACTACGTTACTCTTCTTCTCTGTAATTTTTGAATATTTATCCACAGGGCATTTAAGCTGCTCGATTTTCTTTCGTTTTGTGACCGTCGGTTGAATGTTTTCTTTTGTGCATCGTTTTAGTTATACGATGTTTGCTTGGTAAATGCTCTACATTTAGTTGTTTAGTTCATATGGAGGCTTCAAACTTGGCTTTTGCTTACTTTTAGTGCCTATCTGCTTTACAATTGATGTCAAAGGTTTCTTCTTTACAAGCTCTTTCTGTGTTTTGGGCAAATTTCCAAAAAGCTGATCTGTTTTGCTATGCTCATTTAAAAGTACTACACTTCCTACATTTTACATTACATAGTCAGTTAGTCACAGTCAGTTCAACTTGAGGAGATTTTATAAAAATTCCTGATAGCAGGAAAGTAATATGTGGTAATATTTTAACACGAGAACTTACAAATGCGGACATTTAGAAGTGTGTCTAAAGAATTAATAATTTCCAGTTAACTTGGTTATTTGCTGATATTAAGGAAATAGTTAACTTTCAAAAGCATTGTGATGCTCTTTTAAAAGTTTTCTGAATAGCTTCTCATCACCCTCTTTCCTGAGTTTAAGGATGATAAAAGTAAAAGTGTATCTAATAGCTGACAGCTATCTCAAGCAACTCAAGCATACATCTCATTATTAGACATCTTTGCTGCTATGCACTCACGCTTTTAAAACCTTTTCTTATCCTTTACTCTCATATCTGAGCCACTCAGTACGAGGATTGCACTTCAGGATGGATTTATGTTCTACAGAGTACTATTCTTCTATGTGTTAGGCATTTGGTAATGACATATGATGTAGTCTACATTATTTGCTGTTACCAAATGCCTATCTTAATAGAAAAAAGTGATATTTGGTTATCATAATCGAATGGATCCTATCTATAATCCACAAATTAATTGTATTATGCAAATTTGGTGTATTTGGAGTGCTTATATACTGTTCCACAACATTTTTAGTCCACTCTCCGTTGGCATTTGTCAACTTGAGGTTATAATCATTGAAGTTCCACAAACAGGAACAAATCTAGATACCTGGCCGAACATCAAAACATAATAGTGAAATAAGTTTAGTTAAGTAAAATCATATCAGTCCATTAATATTTTTCAATGGTGATTACACAACTATATGTGGTGGGAGAGTGGGACATAGTGGTAAAACATCCACAAGTTTTAAGTGTGTTAACACAATATATACATATTCAAATATAGTTTACATTATTGTTTTCTATGAATCTGTAAGTTTGTATATTCTGGATTATTCTCTTTTGTAAGTTTCTATATTCTTTTCATCATTTAAATTCTCTTTGTATGAGAGTGTGTTTGATTCAGTGGAGGGGAGAGGGTGTGAAGGGGGAGTCATGGTCGTCAAAATCGCGATCCAACTAGTAGGGATCGGACGGTTTCACAACTCACCTTTTTATGATTGTCTCACCTTAATAGAATTGGAAAACGATAAAGATAGGTGAACTCGCTGCTTAGAATCGTAAAATCGGTAGAAGTGTAGCTGATAGAGATCCATTTTAGAGAAGGAAATGGCAAAAATGAATGTAGATAGGGAGGGATAGTCGAGAATGGCAGAAAAACGAAAAGTGAGGACTAAGGAAACAGCTGAAAAAGAAAAACAAGAAAAATTAGGAAACATGCTGAAATTTTGAAGGATTTAATTTCATTATATGGCTCTTCAACTCCAGTCTTCAGCCATCATGTTTTTATTTTATTACTCCGTATTTAATACGGAGTAACATTTTCTATATTGTCTCCCATCAGCATCAGACAAATCTTCTGCCCTCTGTTGTGAACATATCTAGAAGACTAGAAACCCACCCTTGTACCAATATGCAAATTACAGTCTGCAAGCCAGTCATATATGATGTTTTGTTTCAAATATATTATCTGCCATCTTCTTCTTCTGCCAATATATATATGCATGAATATATCATCGCCATTATCACTACTTCAGTGCCGTAAAGGTTTCCACCTACGGTGGGGGGGGGGGTCGGATGTACGCAGCCTTACCCCAGTGCCGCAAAGGCTCCCGCCTACGGTGGGGTAAGGGGGGGTTGGATGTACGTAGCCTTACCCCTGTACTAAAGCACATAGAGACTGTTTCCGGATGACCCATGGTATATGCATGAATATATATATGTATTTTTTTTATGTATACATTAACAATAAAAAAATGTTATATATGTACTAAGTATATTGTAGTATCTTACGCTCTGTGTCACGATCTCAGAATTTACGATCATTATTTCTCAGTACGATCTTGCACAGAATCTTGTGTTTGACTACTGTGGGGGGAGTGTGTGTCTGTGTGTAACCTTATCTGGTTTAGTTTGGGGTGTAGTTTGAATTATCCGCCCCTGTTAAAAGCCCCGATTTGGAGGGATGGAAAATGAAGGCAAAGTAGGGGAGGGGAGTGAAGCACTTTGACTTCCCCCAAAATAAAAGATGCTCAAACCAAATATGCCATCTGTGTTTTGATTTTAGGGTGCTTTCTCCTTCACAATTACTACCTTCATGTTCCATTCTCTTTTAACTGAATATTTTTAACTGGATATTTATGTCCTTCATTATCGTCTTTTTTTTGTCAGATCGAAAGCTTTCTGAAGATCAATGGCATATCCCCTGAACTTGCTTGTGTTGAACAAAGGTATGAATTGTTTTTGTTGTTTTCATGTTTGACTTGTGAAATTTTGATAGCATTCTTATAGAAGAACATAATTCAAACAACAATGCCTGAAGGTTTCCCTTCGAGGAACTTCACATGGCGAACAAAACTGAGGTGGAAAATCAAGATGGTAGTGATGACGATGACGATGACGATGACGATGATGATGACGACGATGATGATGTTGCTGATGATGATGATGATGATGATGTGGAAGAACTGGAACAGCCCCACGGTGATGATGATGAGAGTGACGATGATCCTGATGTGGGAGGTGGTGACGAAGGCAATGATGATGAGGAAGATGAAGATGATGATGATGATGATGGTGGTGATGAAGATGAAGATGAGGATGAGGATGAAGAAGAGGAAGAAGAAGAGGATGACAAGCCACCTGCCAAGAAGAGAAAGTGAAGATGTATTTGATTGATGTTTATTCTGCCTCGAAATGGTTGGGATTCTGTGAGTAACCAGGACTGAACTAGCTTTACATAATTATTACTCCGGATTATATATGGCTCTTTGTAGCCTTTAGGTATTTGACTGTCCTTATAGACATTTGCGTGTTTGTTATGTGAAGGATTGCTGGGGCACATGCTAGATATCCCCTTTTCTTCTTCCTTGTCACGTTCCATTTAATTATTCAATCACTTGGGGAATTTGGATAGAGTTTTGAAGGAGGAGACTTTGGAAGGTCTAGTCGATATATTTAATCTTTTCCCTGTTTTCTTCCAGTTAAATGTTTAATCCTTTATGTTTACAATGACTTCCTGTTGAAATCGGTCCAGAACCCACCCTGAAATTCATATTAGACCCCTAGGGTATGCGATTTTGAGGAGAGGCCTAAAAATGAAGAGGTTATTTTTGTCTGTTTCTGAGGTGAGCCGAAGTAATGAAAGGTTTATTTTCAGTTTTTCAGTTAGAGAAAGTACTAGTGTAGTACCCGTACTATGGTACATAATTAAATTATACACAGTTTCTTTCTAAAATACGATTTTTTTTACTTGTAATTAGGGAAATTTTTTTACTTTTGATTGGATTAAATAAGTCACATTTTGAAAATAAAGCATGCTAGTTTCTATTTGTTCAATTGTTCATTTTGTCTATATTTTAATTCCATTTGGACCAATTTCTTTAAAACATTCTTGATACATCAACGTTGACCTAGTTTTTTTAAAAATAAAATGGAAATCATAGTAAAATAATTTCACAAAATGAAAACATTTACGTTGACCGTTAGGTTGTAATGTGGAATATTTAGGCGAAACATTATTAGTGGAAATTTATAAAAATAATTGGTATTCTTATTTTATTTAGTTGTAAAATGTGTCGGGAAATCATTTTAAATTTATGATTATGATTGTTTTTTAATCAGATCCAAATTTGGATCTATTTAAGTTTAATTTGGTCCAGTTTGTTTATAGCCGTTGTATATATTTGTGTTTAACACAAGTATTTGTTGAAAAAAGAAGAGAAATTAAGCAAATACTTTCAGAATGAAAGGTGGAACATAATTTATTATAGAGAACTTGAAATGGGTCGGTTCGAATTTCATCTATATCTATATATGCGGAGTATAAAATAACAAAATATAGTGAGAGGTTTTTTCGGGCGGAAATAGGGATGTCAAAAAAACTCGACCCGCAATGACACGCCCTGGCCCGAGACATTTGGGGCGGGTTCGCCCCGCCCCATCTTGCAAATGGGGCGGGTCCGCCCCGCCCCGCCTATACAATGGGGTGGGTCCGGGTATTAGAATTGACTCGTGCCGCCCCGCCCCGCCCTGACCCGCTCAATATATAAGTATACATATTATTTCTTAAATCATACTATAAATATACTTTAACATACATATGTGTGTATACAATAAATTATAAATTCTTTGATCTTATAATATATTAATATATATTATAATGAGATGAATGACAGATTATCAATGTCTTCTTTATAGTAGTATATGGCATTTTAATACATATATTCAATTATTAATACTATTAAATAGATTACATAATCAAGTCTGAGTAATTTTTCCTTGATTTTTGAAATTTGTAATGTATCATGAATTTGATTTAATATATTAATTTTTAATTATTATTTGGAGATAAACTTTATTTAGATTCAATTGGTAACAACTTCCGACAAATAAAAATACATACTAGCTAATTAGGTTAAGGCGGGACGGGGCGGACCCGCCTCGCATGGGGCGGGTCATGGGTCAACAAGTTTGGACCCGTCAAGTCACGGGGCGAGTTCGGGTCTTGTAGTACCAGCCCCGCCCCGACCCACTGCCATGAAACACTTTTGCTAGCTTTGTAGGGTTTCTTTGGTTAGTAAGAAATGCTGTGTCCGATTAGTTAGAAATGTTGTATCCAATTGGTATGATTAATAGTGGCAATGGTTGGCTGAATGTTTTTCTTGAAACGTGCAACATTGAAAGAGCAGTCATCACATGTATTAAATGTCGGTAACCACTATTAATCATACCAATAAATTGGATATAACATTCAGACAGATTCTGCGGCCAGTTGGGTCATTCAGACAGATTCTGCCCTGCTCATGTGGTGAAAGGGGAGACTGTTTTGGCAAAAAAAATTGGAGTTTGGTTGAGGGCAGGGGGTAGGCGTGGCCAGGAAGGAAGTGGGAGTCCTTGGCTGTTTCCGGAGGATGGGGGGAGGGAGAAGGCAGGGGATGGTGAATCTAAAAACGAGGGGAAGAATGGGAGAGGAGGAGGGGAAAAGGAATCTGAACAGGGGTATTCTTACAAGGAAGGTGGAGAGGGGGAAGGTAGCCGGGTAGGGAGGAGGAGGAGGTGGGTCAGGAGAGGGCAGTAGGGTGTAGTTTCATCTCGGAGAAGGAGGGGAGGGCAGGGGGCTGGTAGGGAAAAGAAGGAGGGTTGAGAAGAGTGTTTTAGTAGGCAGTGGCGGAGCCAAAAATCTATGGTTGGTTAAGGGGGCCGGTCATTAAAATTTTTACATTGTAGGGGCCAAAGTTTAAAATATCAACATATTTTTATAGATTAAAAGTATTTATAAATAATATATACTTAAGAAATTTTTTTCTTGCAGGGGCCGAGGCCCCCTCCAGCCCCTCCCTGTCTCCACCCCTGTTAGTAGGGTATCCAAAAAAAGGATGTGGGGCGGGTGGTGCTTCGCAGGCCCACCGGGCACCATGAGTGCACTTAGCTGGAACTGTCGGTGGTTTGGCAACCCAACGATAGTTCAAGTACTAGTGGATTTTGTCCACTCAAAGGAGTGGCTGGCTATCGTTTTCCTTATGGAAACGATTTTGAAGACTGATAAAATTAATTCTCTTCATAGGAAGCTGGGATTTGATAATTCTTTTTGTGTTGATTGTGTGGGTCACAGTGGTGGTTTAGCTATGTTTTGGGGCGACGACGTGGACTTACAAGCGATCGGATCCAGTGCTCATTCTTATTGATGCTTATGTCAGACTGGAGGTGGGTGATTCACCTTGGCGTTTTACTGGCTTCTACGGTTGTCCTGAACGTACGAGGAGGAAGGAGTCTTGGGGTATTTTGCGGCAGCTTAGTTACTCCTCTGACCTTCCATGGCTTGTTATGAGTGACTTCAACGATATTATGTTCCCGAATGAGAAACTTGGGAGAATCCCTCATCCGGGTTGGCTTTTACGAGGCTTCCGAGAAGCGGTTTGGGAGAGTGGGCTTTCCAGTTTCCCTTTCGCGGGCTACCAGTTCACATGGGAAAGAGGGAGGGGGACACAAATGTGGGTGGAGGAGAAACTTGACAGAATTCTGGTCTCTAGTACGTGGGAGGAATTTTTTGCTGATGCTGAGGCGACTTCATTAGAAGGTACTACGAGTGATCACCTCTCTTTATTTATTAAATTTAGGCGTGGGGCTCGGGTAAACCATCGGAGGCGTTTTAAGTTTGAAAATATATGACTCCGGGAGGGGGAGTGTAGGGAGGTGGTGGAGAAGAGTTGGGGGATCGGGAGAGGCTGGGGTATTCAAAAGCAGGTGGAAATTTGTGGGAGAGAGATTGGAAGATGGAGTGAGTTGAGAAACAATGGACTCGGAAAAAAGATTGAGTTTTGCCGGCGGCGGTTACAGTATTTACGCAATAAGAACGATGGTTTTTGTGTGAGAGAATTTGGTAAAGTGCGGTGTGAGTACCTGGAGCTCTTGGAGAGACAACAACGATATTGGCAGCAGAGAGCGAAAGTTTTTTGGTTGCATGAAGGGGATTCTAACACCAAATTTTTTCACAACGCTGTCAAACAAAGGAGGAAGAAAAATAGAGTGGAAGGTTTCCGGGTGGATGGGGGTAGGTGAGAGAAAGATCGGAAGGAGATCGAACGGATGGTGGAGGATTGTTTTAATAATATTTTTTCTTCTGTGCAGGGATCAATTGAGCCTTTTATTTATAGTATGGATCACAAAGTTACAGTTGATCTGAATACCCAATTATTGCGCCCTTTGCGTGCAGAGGAGGTCAAAGAGGCTTTATTCTCAATGCACCTGGACAAATCTCTTGGCCCAGACGGGATGAGCCCAGGTTTCTTTCAGCACTTTTGGGATTTAGTCGGACCGGATATGGTGAATCTTTGCCAGCAGATATTTACTTCCGGTTGTATTCCTGAAGGGTTAAATCATACTAATATTATCTTAATTCCAATAAAAGATAGACACGAGACTTTAGTTGATTGAAGACCGATCTCTCTTTCTAATGTTTTATTTAAAATTTTCTCCAAGATCTTGGCTAATAGATTGAAAATTATTTTTGGGTTATTTGATTTCTCAAAATCAAAGTGCTTTCGTCCCAGGGAGGTCTATTATTGATAATATTATGATTGCTTTTGAGGCACATCACTACCTTAAGCGCAAGAGACAGGGTATAGATGGCTATGTGGCTCTCAAGTTGGACATGAGCAAGGCGTATGACCGGGTTGAATGAAATTTTTTGGAGGCTATTCTATGTAGACTCGGCTTTGATGACAGACGGGTCTCCTTAATGATGCAGACTGTGAGGACGGTGTCATACTCCATTCCTTTTGATGGTATAGAGCTTGGGCCAGTGATTCCTAATAGGGGCCTGAGACAGGGTGGTCTGTTATCTCCTTACCTTTTTATTCTTATTGCGGAGGGTCTTAGTGCTCGGTTGAGACTGGAGGAAGCGGCCGGTAATCTGCATGGTGTTTGTGTGGCGAGAGGTGCTCCCCGGATCTCTCATTTGCTATTTGCGGATGATTCTTTCCTATTCTTTAAAGCATCTCATGATGAATGTTTACCCGTCAAGACAGTCCTGGAAGATTATGAGGAAGCCTCTTTCCAGGTTATTAATTATTCTAAATCTACTATCTTTTTCAGTACCAACGTTAGCAGGGACCGACAGGAGGGGTTCAAGGAAATGCTCGGCGTTCAATCTATGAGTGTCGGGGCAAAATATCTCGGCCTCCCTTCGCTGGTAGGTCATAGCAAAAGGGAGGTTTTGGCCTATATTAAGGAAAGAATTGTTAAACACCTTAATTGCTGGAACCATAAATTTCTATCTAGGGCTGGTCGAGAAGTCACAATCAAAACGGTCCTTCAAGCCATGCCTAGCTATGCAATGAATGTCTTTCTCTTTCCTAAGGAGATGTGCGCTGAGATTGAAAGGCTTATGAATGGCTTTTGGTGGAGAGGGAATTCCAACACAGGAATCAGATGGACTAGCTGGGAGAATTTATGTGTTCCGAAGAAATTTGGGGGCTTGGGTTTCAGGAGACTGCGAGATTTTAATC